AGCCTTATGTACAAATTAATTCCTAAAACAACCTTGCAAGGTAGATACTGCTAATGTCCCTGTTTGTTACATAAGGAAGTTGAGGCACGAGGGGATTATGTGACTTGTCCAAGATCATGTTGCTGATTTGAGAGCCTCTGTTCTTGATCGCTGCTTTATATAGTACTGCCTCTTATTCCACAACAGTTTTTAAAAAGCAAGTATTCTAGGGCCTGGGGATATAGGTCAGCGGTACAGAGCCTACCTGGCAAGCACAAGGTCCTGAGTTTGATTCCCAGCACCAAAAAAAAAAAAAAAAACTAAAATAAAATAAAATAGAAAAATTAAAAAAAGAAATAAGTATTCTGATGTTCAATACAGTGACCACTAGTCTTGTATGGCAGTTATCTTTAAATTTTATTTTATTAGTACGTGTGTGTAGTACATAATGTTTACATTCTTTGTGGGGTATTGGTGCATGTACATAAATACATTTTCATCCCTTTTCCTTTCTTTCCTTCCCCTGTCTGCTCATCGGTTGATTCCCTTGCTTTTTTGTTTGTCTGTTTGGGTTTTTTGGTACATGTTTACAGTATACACTATGCTTGTATGGAGTTGGTATAGGCACAGTGATGGCAAGCCCTTTAGAGCTTTCAGTGGTAACAAATAGCCTGCTGTGGCACGCATGCTGTAGGTTCGATACCACTAGTATAGATTCTCACCATGTATTCCAGACTGGCCTTGGACTCACTATTATAGCCCAGGCTGACCTCACATTCGCAGTGATCCCCCTGCATTAGACTCCTTAGTGCTGGGAGTATAGTCATGTGCCAGTATTCCCAGCTTATATGGCAATTTAGATTTAAATTAACTAAAAATAAAAATGTAGTTTATCAGTTGAATGAACCACATTTCAACTGCTCAGGAGTCACACATTACTAATAATTACCATATTGGACATTTACAACATTGCAGAAAGTTCTTTGGCAGTGACAGCAAACCTTTTAGAGGTTTTAATGATGCAAATAGCCCACTGCAGCACATGTGCCTAGGTTCACCACCACTGTTCTATGGCGTAGCAGTGGTCAAGAAAATAAACATTATATAGGTTCCAGAGAGAAAGTGACATGTGTGTGAAGCTTGTAAAATTATACTGTCAGTGACTGAATGGGCGACCTGGCCAACTGGGTGGATGAACTGTTCCTAAACAGTGATAGAGAAAACAATGATGAATTTAGTTTTGTACTTGGTAAAGGGAGATATCTGTGACCTTTTCTAATTGAAGCTGTCCAGAAAGCATTTAGAAATGAGGTAGTGGGGCTGAAAAGAGAATTCTGGAGTTGAAATCATCCATATAGAGATAATCCTGAACCAGCTGAGCCAATGAGACTTTCATTGTTTTATTTGGTTTGGCTGTTTGGTTTGATTTCAGGAAACAGTGTCTCACTGTGTTGCCCAGGCTGGCGTGGGACTCCTGGGCTCAAGTGGTCATCATTCCTCAGCCTCCCAAGCAAGGGGACTGCAGAGTCACGCCACCATGCTATATGTGGCTATAAATGAGATATTTTGTTTTGGCAGACTGGGGATTGAACCCAGGGCATCATGTGCTAGGTAAGCACTCTACCACTAACCTACATCCCCAGCCTTTGTTTCTGGATAATGTGTGGTACTGGAGACCAAACCCAACCACGTCCCCCAAGTTTTTGTTTTGTTTTGTTTTGTTTTGAAACAGGATTATGCTAGGTTTGAACTTATAATCCTCCTATCTCAGCCTCCCATGTAGGTGGGATTATAGGAGTGCAGCACCACACTCTAAAATAAATGAGGTTTTAAAAAAGAAAATTTAGAAAGAAAAGATTGAACAGCTTGGAGTTACAGAGATGAGGTAAAAGAGGAGCTGGAGAAAGATTAATTAGAGGGATGAGGATAGCCAAGCTGATGAACTAGAGCAAATGAGAGACAGGAATTTCACGAAGGAGAGATTGATTTTTTTTAGTATGAAATGCTGTAGAGATGGAAGGACTGAAGAAAAAAACACACATTGGATATTGTGGTTTAGAAGCTAGTGCTGACCTTTACAAATAGAACTGCAGAAACAAATTGGCAGAAACCAAATAATGTGACTGGATAGAGGAGAAATAAAAAGTTGAAACCACTCCTTCATGAAGTTCAGACATCAAATAAAGGAGAAATGGGTATAAAGTGGAAAGGAAATATATTCTTTAAATAGAAGACATGATCATGACCAAAGGCAAAAGAGAAATTATTAGAAAAGTACTACAATTAGTAGTACCTTATATACCATTCATTCATTCATTTGTTCAGTCAGTACAGATGTTGCTTATCAACTGGGTACCAGACTTTGTATAAGAAACTGGAAGTGTATCAGTTAATGAAACAAATTAATTCAAATGAACAATAGTGTAGCAGTGGTCCCTAGTATAGTTTCTTACTGCTCTTTTCTACCTTTTTTCTCCCACCTCTCTCTAAGACTTTCTACCTTTTTTTCTCTAATAATAATTTTATAGAGACAGATAATAAACCAGATGTATTACATGTGTAGCACCAGGTGTTGGTTGGGTTGGGTTGGGTTGGATTGGGTTGGGTTAGGTTGGGTTGGGTTGATTTGGTTTGGTTTGGTTTTGGAGGCAGGGTCTTACCTGGGATTTCTTCATGTGTCATTTTCCTTACTAAATTTGTTTCTGCTTTTTAAAAATTAATAATTTTTAAAAGTTCAAATGAAACAAAACCATTTGTATGTGGTCTTCATTTGGTTTCAATAAAAAGCCCAGAGGTGCGTAAATGAGAAGGCCCCAAAGTGGCTGCAGCATTATAGAGTGTTGCTCTTTCCCATTTGATAATCAGCCCATACGATTATTTCCCGCTGAGAAATCCTGCCCTATTAGCTGTAAGGTCTTTAGTGGCTTTAAGTATCAGTCTTGATGACTGGATTTAAACATAAATTGTACATCGTATAGCTTGATATTACCCACACAAACACACACACACGCACACACACACACACACACACCATCATGTTGGGCTGTTAGCGTAGCACAAGGGTGCCGTTTACTGTATCAAGAGCAATGCTTTTTATAAGGTTAAGCTTTCCCTTGGGGATTACTCACCCATGTAAAGGATATAATGTCATAGCAACAAACTATAAGCTACTGGTTTTAAGTTTAAGACTCATTCCATATGAATTAAATTAAACTTAGAATTAAGATACGTTATGTACATGTACCAATTCCCCATGATGAATGTAATCATTATGTACTGCAAGCATATACTATACTAATTTAAAAAGTAAATTTAGCCAGTATTAATTGAGCAAATTAGAAAAGAAGGAGAATATCTTCTCTTCCAATTCTAGAGGAAGAATGAAAAGATTTGGTTAGGGAACATGTTTTGTGATGGAGAGTACAGACAATTGAGTCAGTATGGCTTGGGAGTGTGTACATCTCAAAGGATACCAGCTAACACACTTGGTATGACCGTGAGAAGGTATGCTTCCAGCCTGGCATGGTGGCACTAGCCTGTAACCCCAGGACTCTGGGCGGCTAAGGCAAGAGAATCACCAGTTCAGCTTAGGTTCAGCAATTTAGCCACATAGGAAACACTGTCTCAAAATAACTAAAAACCAGGACTGGGAATGTAGCTTGGTATGAAGGCCCCGGGTTTAAATCGAGGTTGGGAGTTCCCCTAGGAATTACATTACATGGTCAGAATTCTCAAGGGAATTATGGCCTTTTAGGAAAGCCAATGTTAGACCTTTGAAATAATTTTATAGAAAATAATGATGTACTGCCATACTTCCCAAGCCTAATTATGTATCAAAGTGGTATAGAGAACTTTTAAAAAATCATACAGACTTTTGAGCCTCATCCCAGAAGTTTCAAGGATAGTCCAGCAATCTATTTTTTAATAGAATTCCTGTTGGTACTGATTTAGTTTGTTCTCAAAACTGTTCTTAGGAAGAATTGCAATTCAGTAAGCTAATAAAATGAATATTAAAAAGCCTTGGAGAATAACATACTCTAAATTTATTCACTTATTTATTCATCTAACATGCTGTAGATATTATGCTACATTCCAGACTTATAGAGATGAATAATACATGGTCCCTAGTCTCAGTTTAATAGAAGAGTTATCAGTAGATAAATAAAACAGTTTGGTTGTGAAAAGATGGAGATGTGTAGGATGTTATAGAAGTGCTTGGCCCTGGTTTGCTTGGGGTAGGAAGAAACACAGGCTAAGGAAAAGTCTATGGGAGTGGCTGAGCTATTTCATAACAACAGATTGTGTAGGCTTTGTAGCATTGTGTAGTATTTGTCTGAATTGTTATGCTTAAAAATCTTGCTAAAATGTTTATATTTCCCCATTTTATTAAAAAATGCATGGAATATAACTTTTTATTGATTTGTCCTGATTACATGTTATCAGTTATCCATACCATATAGCAAAATAGTGATACCTTTTATTGCAGTGTACAGTATTAATTTCTCTTATCTAAAATGGTCCCCAACTGGTAAAACTTCGTATAGAATTGATGGAAAGACAGCTCCAAAGGTAAATTTGAATTTACAATGAAATCAGTCACCTTGAATGTGTATTTCCCTGAGATCTACATTCAATAGCTGGTTCATAAACTTGGAATGAGAGAAAGGTGGCTATAACCAAGGTTGAAATTTTGTCAGATAAAAACAATGTGAAAGACAGGTAAAGAAGTGATGATAAGAATGAATTGTGGAATCTGTGCTTAGTTAGGAAAGAATGAGGCTTTGGAAGTGGAGGGAAGAATGGTAAAAGGTGGTTGGACCCATTAAGAACTATAGGATCTTCTTGGGTCAGTGGTTATTAGAGTTGGAATGTTAAGGAGAGTAAGCTTGAAAGGACAGAAGGTGATGCTCAGAGGCCGTATGTGAGATGCCAATATGGAATGCCCAGTGCTTTCAACTGAATGCAGGGTCCTTATGAGTTTTAGCGGCTATAATAATCATTTTAATTCATTGATTGGTTAGGTTCATGACTACAAAGAAGGAACCCCAGAAGAAAAGACCTATTACATAGAGTTATGGGATGTTGGAGGCTCTGTGGGCAGTGCCAGCAGTGTGAAAAGTACAAGAACAGTCTTTTACAACTCTGTAAATGGTAAGCCTTTTTTAATTTCAACCACATTTTAATGGTCTGGAAGTACAGATCATCTGACGTGATATGCTGTGATATGTCAGTCTCATCTTAATTTGTTAATAATGTAATATACTGTTAACTCAATTTAAATCTGCATATTACATTCCAGTCTACGTTTTGAGATTCTAGCTATATAATTCAGAATAGTAAAAATCTCCTTTGTCTAAATCTATTTTATTTATATTTTCTACAATATTATTATAAAGTATTGAGAAACAGAATTATATTTTTCGTATACTTGTGATAAAAATGGAACTTCCAAAACACTAGGAATATTGTTTCTCCACTCATAGTCTTAAGGCAGATGTTCAGAGAGAGATTTCTTTCTTCTGGCCCTTAGAGCCTAATGTAATTGCAAAGAGCTGCTTAAGGGTGTGTTTAGAGATCGAGCAATTTTATCCAGTAATAAATGTTCAAATACTTGAAGCATACTTTCAGATGGAGGTATGTAATACAGGGCAATAATTGCAATTCATGAGTGCTTATTCCTTGTCAAAGGACTAAGCCACTCATCTTTGTGATTTGCCTGTAATTTCTTGTGATTATTTTTTAAAATTTTTATTATGAAATACAATTTTTTTATTTGTCTTTGATTAATATTCCAAAAGATTTGGCATTTCCTTCCCACCTGGTAAATGTGTAGCCATTAGTAGGACCTTATTCATGTTATGCTTAGATCTCATTTAATATTAAGTAAGCCTTGCATTTATTCAATATCTACCTTCCTTATATTTCTCTTTCAATATCTTCCCTATATCATAAGATGTAGTGGATACTACAAAAATAAGTAGAAAGCATTCTTAGATACATATTATAGAATATATGATGAGTTGTATTCATTCAGACCCATGTCTCACTTAATCCAAATTCTATCGGAAAGTGTCATAATCAAGTTGACAAAACATTCCTAAATGAAACAAAACACAGTTAAATGATGATAATATATACCATCAATTTGCAAGAAAGCACCCAATAAAGGCATGTAATAATAGAATACAGTGGTACTTCAGTTTACAAACTTAATTCATTCTGTGAGTCTGGAGAAGGTGGCCGCATTTGTGTTCATGTGGGGAAGATGGCAGTGGTCATGTTTGTCATCTGATGCAGAGTTTGCTAACAGAAACAAAATTTTGCCAGATGCTTCTGTTCACAAACTGAATTGTTTGAGAACATTGAGGCATTCATGAACCAAGGTATTACTGTGTATATAAATGAAGAAAAAGCAAGATTATAGTGTGAGTTAACTACTTGAAACCTGTTTTAGACTTCGAATCAGGTGGTAAACTTATATATCAGTCAAGTGATTTGTCAAAGCAGATCATCAATCTTCTTTGGCACAGGAAAATTTGGATGTATAACAGTATATATATCCAGCTGGGCCAACACTCAGGAAGGAGGCCAGCAGGAGGATCACTGCAAGGTCAGCCTTGGCTACATAGTGAGTTCAAGACCACCCGAGAATACATACTGAGACCATGTCTCAAAAATACAACATAACCAGCATACTGTGTATACCCAAATTTTTTTCAGCAGAGATAGATAAAAATTAGAAGTAAATAATACAGATAAAGACCAGTTAAATTCTACCAATTATGAAATTCTTAGTTGCAAACTTACAAGTACTGAACAAGTCCATTGTCCCCCATATTTATTTATTTCTTCTGTACTTACTGTTCTTTAGTGATTTGTATCCTCTGTTAAACCACTGGAAAAAAATATACCCTATTTTGATTTTGCTAGTAAGACCAAAATCTATTCCTATTTCTTAAAGCTAAAAAAAATTTATGTTGCTTATTGAAAAACCTATTTCTTTTTTCTTTCACCCTAGCTCTAGAACTTTCTCCTTGGTAGAAACACTCAAGGTTCTTTATCTTTTATCCTATGAAACAGCATAATGATCACTCCATTCAAATGTAGTCTTCATTCTTAGAAATAACTTTTTTTCCTCTCAGTATCCTACTTCCCACTCTCTTGAGCTATGCTTGTAATCTCAGGAAACTGTAGTAAATCCCTGACTTATAAACATTCAAGTTGTGATCTTACAGATACAAATGGACCTCGCATTACAAACATTTATAGATGGGAACAAATCGCAGGAACAAATCACAGAAGTAGCTCATGTGTCTGCTGAACATTGTCTTAGTTGTGTTACTGTGTGTTTACTGTGCAGTGCAAAAGTGTACAGTACTGCAGTGCTTAGTCAGAGCTCAGGATGTCTGGAAGCAAAAGGAAAAGCAGTGCTGATGTGGAGAGGACTGCTTGGAAGCGCAAAGGAACACCATGGAAGCAAAAGTGAAAATACAGTATAAGACTCATTTTGTCGGATTTATGACTGAATCTGACTCACACATATTCTCCCAGAAGGGAACTCATTTATAAGTCAGGGACTTACTGTACAAAATGCCTCTGCTTCTCTCCCTTAAAATTAGAACATACCGTATTCTAATCTGTCACTTGACTGCTTTCACCTGGGCCCACCTTTCCCTCCTCTAGCTCATATTCTACAAAGCAAGAACGCTGAGAGCAATTGAAAGAGGAAGAATTAGGAAAAGGTGCTTATATGTCTTCAAAAGCCTTAGAGATCCTTAAAAGAATGAACATCTTCTTGTTTATCTAATAGCCTATTATCTAATAGCGTTTGTAATTCTCCACAACCAAAAGTCTTCCCTTGTATTTTTGTAATATTTATACCTAGGAAATAGAGGAGAAAATATATGCCCTAAAATGATATTTTATTCTGCTTTCCTCCTGTCAGAATACCTGAGTGCAGATTCCAGCTATCCTACCTACCATGTGACCTAGGGCACATTAGTCAATCTTTCTGAGCCTTAGTTCCTCATGTATAGAAAGAAGGTAATAATTCTTAACCTTATAAGACTCTTCTAAAAATTAAATTAGATAATTGATGTAAAGTACAGTATCTAGCACATAAGTACTTACCAAATATTATATATTTCCTTTAATGGTAGGTCTTTCTTCTTTTTTCCAATCTATGCTTTTGATGCCTATAAGACTCCTTATTGAGGAAAGAAGAATTAGTGCAGTTGTATGTGGGGGCGGATGCCAGTCTTTTCCCAGACACCAAGATACTGGTTTATCTGAGCTCCTTGGAACAGGTCAACTACAGTACAACTTGCACAAGCATCTTGGTTATACAGATGGTTGTAAAAACTAGAAATGTCAAGTAATTCTACCTTTTCTGCCCTTCTTTTTCAAATAATCATATCCCACATTTTAAGATTGAGGAATCATAATTTCATGTTCTCTTTTCACAGTGGAATAAGGGTAATACAGTAAAGTGTTGGGAGTTTAAAACCTATAGTCTCTTGACCATAAGCTAATATTCTAAATTGTAAGCATTAAAGCCTTTATTCATTTGTCTCTTTTATTGTAATGATTTATCTGCTTTGTCTAGGATATCAATTGTTTGCATTCTGAACCTCATTACATTTTGTTATTTTTCTCAATCTCTCAAAAATTTTTATTTTCTACTATTCATACTTCCTTCTTTCTTATAATGCCATGTTTCTTTTGCTCTATTATCTAAGTCTCCTTTTAAGTAGCAAGGTTATATAGTTAGCCATTAATTCAAAGAATAGTACACTGAAGTTAGTTTATCAGGCCCAAGTGATCTGCAACACAATATTTTATCTCTGCTAAAGAATAGCATTAGTATAAATTGTCAATGACATTTTAATTTTTTCTTGTTTTTTTTCATTATTTGGGGGTTTTTTGGTGATGGAGCTAGAACCAAGAGTCTTACACATGCTAGGCAAGTGCTGTATTACTGAGCTATAGCCACATCAGTGTCATTTTAATAAATTTTTATTAGTATCGTTTTCAGTGAGTATAAGTAATATTTGCACTGATGGCATGCTATATATGGTATAGAAACAACTTTTTAAATGAACATAAGTTATTATATTGAAGTAGTTTCATTGCTCTTGATTAATAAAATGTTTAAATAGGACCAGGCATGAAGTGGACACTCAAGTAGTATTGAATGAAGAGTAAAAAGTGACATCTAAATTTAATGACATTTAATGACATTTTGTCAGCTTTTATACAATTTTTATATAGTTATATAACTGACAAAGTTTTATAGTTAATTCCATAGTTAATTATTTGTAGAAGGAACCTAAAATAATTGAGCTTGTTAGGAGTAATAGAATACTAGATTCATTCAACCACCTAGTACTTGTACAGAGCTTCACTTTGCCACTTGTGAAATGAAGAGGAGTTGCTACAGTACTGACTATATGTTCTCTGATTATTTTAGGTATAATTTTAGTCCATGACTTAACAAATAAAAAGTCATCTCAAAACTTGTATCGTTGGTCACTGGAGGTTCTCAATAGGGATTCGGTGCCAACAGGAGTCTTGGTGATGAATGGGTAAGCCCAGAATTACTTTACAGTTGTTTTGAAATCTTATAGCAATGAGAATGTACTTTATGAAATAACAGTTTGTAAAATGTTTCATTTGCAAATATTTTCTCCTTGTCTCTTCATTGTCTTTTGACAGTGTCTTCCACAAAGCAATAATTTTTATTTTGATGAAGTCTGTTTTTCTTTTCTTGATTATGCTTTTGATATCATGTCTAAGAACTCTTTGCCTAACTCCAGATCATAGAGATTTCCTCTTGTGTTTCTTCATGTGGAGCTCTGCTTTTCTAGCCCACAATGTCCAGTGTCTGACCACTCAGTTAATTATGGGATCCAGGCAAATCTTGCAGCAGGTTGGAATAGCCTCACATCGGACACCAAAATTTGTCACTGGCTAGCATAGTCCTTGCTCTTAAAACTAAAGCACATATTTACAGGAAAAGCAATAATTAAAAGTATTCTCATGTCTTGTACTCTGAGTAACTACACTGAAGATAGCAATACACAATGTATTAGCTATTATTTTTCTCCTATTATTTTGTTTTGAAATTCTGGTTTGTTTGTTTTTTTGTTTGTTTGTTTGTTTTTTCATAAAAATCCCTAAAATATAAAAAGTAAGAGAAAATGATAAAGGATTCTAGGCTTAAAGAGCTGACAAAGACCAGGCCAGCCAAGTATGAAGAAGAGGAAGAAAAATAGGAAGGGACCAATTTAAGCAGGGTCACACTCTGACAAAAGGTATCAGAGTGGCCCCACATTGATTGATTTTCAAATAGTGAACTATTTTTCCATTCTGCAGTCATTTTTTGCTGGGTTTAGTTTACTCATATTTCCTTGGGAATTTTTTTCTGGTTCCTGCAAGATATTGGTTGTTTTTTCTGGTTCTTGCAAGATATTGTAGATAATGTCTTGTACTTGTTTTAGTGTGAAGATAATACTGACCTCATAGAATAACTTGACAGAATCTCTTATTCTTCCATTTTCTGGAAGATACTATGTATATTTGCTGTTCTTTGTGTGTTTGGTATAATTTACTAATGAGGCCATTTGGGCCTGCATATTTCTTATTTGAAAGGTTTTTAACTTTAAATTCAATTTCATTAATAATTATAGGACTGTCCATTTTATCTAAGATGAATTTTGGTAATTTTTGTCCTTTGAGGAATTCACTTGAGTTGTTAAATTTATGTGAATAGAGTTCTGCATAGTATTTGCTTATTATCCTTTTGATATCTATAGTATTACACCCTTTTTCATTATTGATTTTGGTTGTTTCCTTTTTCTCTTTGTCCGAGTTATAGTGCTTTATCAATTTATTGATCTCTTCAAAGAAGATTTTGGTTTCATTGATTTGTTTTTAGTATACTTACTCAGGAAATTTATTTTTAAATTTAAGAGTAGGAGGCAGTATATTCATATCAGGAAGAAATTTGCATTGGTTTCAGGAAATTCAAGATGGCAGTAAAAATTATAGATGCGTTTGCATTTTGACCCTATAGCTTCATTTTACTCCTATGGAGAACCTGCAAATATATAAGACAACATAGTACACTGGTGCTACAGTGGTACGTTATAACAACAGAAGATGAGGAAACAAGGCTAGAGTCCATCAACAGAACATTCTTTAAATAATGGCATGTCTGCATACTGAAGTACTATTCATCTGCTTGGAAGGGAAGCTCTGTACGTGTTCTAAAATACAGAGATTTACCGAGGATATATATATATATATATTTTAGAAATAAAAGGAGGAAAATACTAACAGATCGACAACGTTTTACAAAATAGCAAAGGATCAGTACAGACTTTACAGAGTTACAAACAGAGTGGTAGGGAATTAACAATGCTTATTGTATTACATATTGATATCTTCAATGTAGTTTCTCGTGAAAACACATATAGACATACAAAGCTAATCAACCAATGCCTCACTGACAGTTTCTTTCAGCAAGGAAATACAGGACAGTAGAACACCTGTGTTAACTATCCTGCATATACATATATACAAACTTTCTCCTTCTTTCCCTTCTCTTTTCCCAAATTCCAGTTATCCTTTACCTATGAGTGCTTTCCTATCAATTCCCAAAGTCTATCATATCTCCTAGTTTAAATTAACTCTTTCAGGCTTTACACTAGAGAAACAATGCGGTGCTTGCACATGTATGTTTGATTTATTTCGCTTATGAGTATGGTCTCTAGTTGTGACCATTTGCCTATAAAAGCCTCGAGTTTATCTTTCTTTACAGCTGAGTAATATTCCATTATATAAAAGTACCACAATTTTCTTATCCAATCCTCAGTGGATGGACATTTGGGTTGCTTCCACATTTTAGCAATTACAAATTGTGCTGCTATGAACATAGGTGCACATACATCACTGTGATATGATGTTTTTAGATCTTCTTACCGAGAATATATTGATAGGTTTAAATATTCAGAGTGCACAGAATATTATTCAGCATAAAAAAGAAATTATATCATTTGCAGGAAAATGTTTAGAAATAAGTCAGACTGAGATAGACAAGAATCACATGTTTTTTCTCACATGTTGAATCTAACAGACAGATAAACAGTTGATAGAAAGCAGAACAGACTATTAGAGAAGAGGAAGGGAGTGGAGGTTAAGGGAATATGCAGTAGGGGAGTGATGCAAGTGTGTTGTGTACATGTAACTGTGCCAAAATGAAAAACACTATTTTGTATAATAAATAGATACTGATTAAAAATTTTAAAAATAAAGATACAGAATATATATAGCTCTTATTATATAAGAAATCAGAAAAATAAGAATATGTACTTCTTTGTATAAAAAATCACTAAAAGGATAAATGAAAAACAGTGGTAATAAAAGTGGTTTTCCTACTAGGGATCTGGACAAATAAGAGGATGGGCACAAGGATAAGAACAAGACTGCTTATCTTTTATATCAGCTAAATTTTGAATCATTTTTAAAAACTTAACGAAATTTTATTTATTTAATTTTTTATGTGTGTCTTGGTTTTTGGTTTCTTTTGGGTACTAGGAATCAAACTCAGGACCTCACGCTTGGCGGGCAGGTGCTATGCCACTGAGCTAAATCCCCAGCTCCTATGTTACGCATTTTTTATGTGTTATATGTTTGAACATACCTAAGTATAAAAAATAGAAGATGAACCCCTGTGTACTGGTCATCCAGCTTCAACAATTATCAACATGTGGCCATACAGCCAGTCATGTTTCATCCAGATCTCCACCCATTCCCCACTTTCTCTCCCCCTCAAATGGATTATTTTGAAACAAATGTTAGACATCATATCATTTCATTCATGTATACTTTAATGTGTAACTATAAAGAACAAGGACTTTTCTAACATAACCCACATGATTATCACTCTTGAAAATTTAACAGTAATTCTCTAATAATCAAATGTTATTTCAACCCTTCAATGCATAGTGATCCACTTTTAAAACACCCCTAACAATGCACATAATGAAATGTGTTCTCTTCACATTCTTTTTTTTTGTTTGTTTTTCTGGTACCAGGAATCAAACTCACGACCTTGTGCTTGCCAGGCAGGTGCTGTGCCGCTGAGCTAAATCCCCAGCCCTCTCTTCACATTCTTATTCCTTAAATTTCTCTAGGTAACATACATGAATTTCATTAAAAAATTCAAAAATGTCAATGTTCAGCGTAAATGAGTTAACTTCCCCAATTATTTCATGGGATGTATTTGATATGTTCAAAATGGTACCTAAAAAGGTTCTGCTCATTATATTTGATTTTAGTTTCTTTTAATCCCCCTCTTTTTAAAAAGAAAAAATAATACTGCTTAGTGTTATATGCAGAAGAAAATGGCTTTTTGTTCTGTACACTTTCCTGAGCTCTGGAGTTTGCTGATTATATATTCCTGTAGTGTCTTTTAAAGTTGTTCCCTGAATCCTACATTTTCCCTCAGTGGTAGTTAAATATAATGGTCTAAAAATTGCAGGGCATTTTTGCTTTTGTTTTTCCAAAATGGTACTGTCCATACAATATGACACTTAGTTGTCTGTCTTATTATGATTTTAAGAAGTTATCAGCTTTATTCATCCAGGATAAAATTGTCCATCGGTTTTTTACTTAGTGGTTTAAAAAGAGATTTCAAGATCAAATTTCAAGATTTTATAAAATGAAGTGAGAAGAAAGGAAAGCTAAAAGGAGGACAGACTGATGTGTATGCTTTATGTGTGTTAATGTGCAAGAGAGTATACAAGGCTTGTGTTTGTACCAAAGAGACTATTTGATGGATAATATACAAAAATTTTCATGGAGCTGAATTGGTGAATATGAGAGACAGAAACAATTTTAAAGGAGAATAATCCAAAAACTTCATTCTCTAATTAAATTAAATTTCAGTTTTGGAGTGTATCTCCTAACAGTGTTGATCTTGATAAGAAATATCAAAAGTCTTGATCATGAGCTATTATTGGCTTTGGTACAGTAAACATAATGATATTTGTATGAGTCAGAGGGTAGATAATTAACAATAATTGTGTTTTAAGACTGAATAGTAGGTAAAGTGCTAAAATTATTGTGAAGGGCATAAAGACCTAGTAACATTGCCTGCCATCATCCTCGCCCCAATTTTGATTACTCAAAAAGAAAGTAATGTGAAAGACAAAAAGAAAACTGTGCTCGAGTTATATTATTATATTATACAGTATTGATTTATTGTCATAACTTGTTCAAAAGCAGATTTTGCTGACTATTGTAAAGTAAGTTCATCATGTGTTAGAAATCCAAATCTGTTCTGTTCCCAATATGTGAATGGAATTTAAATTAATTTAGTAACAATGGAATTTATGTTTCTTTCAGTAATAAATATTATTTATATCACTGCTCTGACCTTTAGATAAATACAGGGAAAAAAAATATGTGATAGCCACTGACCCAAAAAATTAACCCTAAATCACTCTACTTGTCTTTCCCCTGTCTCTCATGATTATCATGTCTGGACAAGCAGTTGTTTGGTCCTGAGTCCTTTCCTTTTACTATTCATTTTGTATGTCAGCTATTTCCTTTCATTTCTATTTGTTTCATCCATCTTTCTCCAAGTTATAGTACCCCCATATTCAATTTATTCTAGTTCCCCTTTTCTTCTTTTTCTGAAATGATCTATTTTTTAAACTTCTAGACAGAAATGTGTATGATATAAAACTTATGCAGCCCCAAAGGCATCCAGAAACTTGCCATTCCTCTCGGACAAGGAGGCCTGAGTGTCACGCTAGCCTCCCAAGCTTTCTCTACACAAAGGTTTTAATCTGTTCTCTGTTTCTACACTGAAAAAATTCTGAGCTGTTATCCTTACAAGACCGAACTACGGGGAAAGCCAGGAAGCGTGACTATGGTATACTTGTTGGGCAGTCAGTTGTCAAGTGGTCTGTTAGGAAGAGACTTGAGAACAAGTTTTAAATAGGTGCATAGTTAGAGCTCAACAGATTTTATAGTGGGTTGATAAATGGACAAGTAGGTGGAAGAAATTGAGAGGAGAATAGATTTATATGTGATAAGTGAACAGGAATCAATCAGTGAAACAGTGTAAGCTACTTGCATTTAAGTATTATACATCTCACTGGAAAGGTAAATTGTATTCACCTTTTTGTTATTATTTACACAGGGATTATGATCAGGAAAAGTTTGCTGATAACCAAATCCCACTGTTGGTAATAGGAACTAAACTGGACCAGATTCATGAGACCAAGCGCCATGAAGTTTTAACTAGAACTGCTTTCCTGGCTGAGGATTTCAATGCAGAAGAGATTAATTTGGTGTGTATTTTCACTAATACTTGTTTGATTATTATCAGGTAGAAACAAAACCAAAGATTTATACTGAATGAAGCTTTATATTCAAAGTCAAGATATTGGGGTTCTAGCCCATGATGCAGTCAGAATTGCAGTCGATGTATCTAGACTCAGACACAGTCACTTTGGCCTTGTATGCTGACGTATTGGCATGTTCAAACATCTTGAGAAGAGTTTTAAATAACATCAAAGTCAAAATACTTAAATTGATTAAGATGACACTATATTTGAGTATTTTTTACTTTATCAAAGGATCTTTTAGCTGCTTAAGTAACAGAATTAATCTTAAGGGGAAACCAAACAGACACATGAAAAAATTTCCAACTGTAAAGTAGGAATCATAAAAACTAATTTATAGACACTTAGGGATATAGACAGGATTGAGTCCCTTCCTGAGATAATTCATTTAATTAGAACTCAGGGATAAGAAGGCTAAGAAGTAGTTCTCATATAAACCAGTTAACATTACCCAGAGAAAGATCTCAATCAGCAACTTCAGCCATAGTTACATGTCATTATTCACAATTGGATTTCTGTAACATATTCAGTGCACTGTGATCCAAATGTGCACTGGGGAACGTTCAATAATTCTAATGTCCAATATTGATTGAGGACTTATGTTTCCAACACGGTTCCAGTGCTTTATGTATATTATCTCACATGCATTATCTTCACATCAACCCTGTAAGGTAGGTACTCATACTATCCCCCATTGTAAAGATGAAGACCAGAAGCAGAGAGAAATAACAAGTCCAAAATTACACAGGTCAAATAAAGTACTCTATTTCCCAGCAACTAACCTTTCAACTAACAAAAAATCCTGGGAGGTGAAAGAACTCTTGGAAATCATCTAGACGGGTGATGGTTGTTAACCTTCTAGAGCTTTCAGTGATATAAACAGCCCATTTCAGCATGCGTGCCATAGGTTCACCACCACTGATCTAGATTAACAGTTACCCAAGGCTGACTGCATGTTACCAATAGTACTTATGAAAAACTTTTAATAACTTCCCCCACAGCTGGAGCTTTTTATTCATAAAGTCTGACATAAGGTCTATAATTTTGTTTTGTTTTTAAGTGATTCTGCCAATCAAAACCAGGGCCTTTCATGTACTGAACACACACTTTACCTCTAAGCTACACCCCTAGCCCAAGCTCTGTAATTTTAACAAATAATTCAGGTGGTTTTGATGTTCTTATTCTGTGAATCAACCTTTGTAAATGCTGCTTGGTTCAACTCCACCAATACTTACCTGACTGAGTCTGTTCTTAGCTGCCATCTGATTAGTTTTTACATTCCGCTTTGTAGCAGAAGGTGCCTTATTTTTCTGTACAGCTACTGTGGACTATTCATTGTAAATACCCAGGGAGTCAGCATTGGACCATAGTATTTCCAAGAATCATTGCTGTATAAATATATAATGCCTGTGTTGAAGGCATCCTGGGGTTAACTTTGAGCATTATTTCCAAAGAGAAGTTTACCACTGCATACCCTTAATTTGTCCCAACTTTTAATATATTTCTGAATGCATGTGTTTCTAGTGCCTGTGAGTTTCTGTGACAACCAACTTTTATTTGCTATCAAGATATAAAGGTACATAAGTAGTGGAACTTTACAGGCCTAGTTCCCAAAGAATTTAAATACAGCATGCTTTAGCTTTTATCAGTATACAATTTTAAGAACACAGCCAGAAATGATAGGAGAGGCTCATGAGAATAGAAGGAAGAAAAAAATGAGGAAAATTGGATGCAGGGAACTTTCAAAGAGCGGCAGACGTCAAAAAGACTCAGCAAGTAAATAGGAAGTCTCAAATTAAAAACTAATGAAGTTCAGGTGTGAAGGCCTGTAACGTGCCTGTAATTCCAGCTGTTCAAGAGGTTGAGCCTGAGGCAGGAGATTGCAACTGGCAAGCCAGCTTGTGCAACTTAGCAATACCCTACATCAACAGGCATGGTGGTGCATGCTTGTTATCACAACACTCAGGAGACTGAGGCAGGAGGATTGCTTTGAGTTGGAGGCAGTTTGGGCTACATAGTGAATTCAAAGCCAACCTGGATTACATTGTGAGACCCTGTCTCAAAAAAACCAAAAAACTAAAATTTGAAAAAATGGAATCAAAATTATTCTACCTGAGTAAATGCAAAATTGTTCTAATTATTAGTAGGTGGAAGATTACTTTTTAAAAATGCTATTAGGCTTACTATATTTAGTAAAAGTTTCATCTGTCATGTGTTTACTCAGAGTGATGGTAACTGAAGCATTTTCCCTAGTTAATCATTCTTTCTTAAGCTCAGACAGTCTATCAGAGATACTAGCTTACAGCCTTTGTGATCAATGGCAGATGGTTCTTTCAGCTCTAAAATTTTCATAGAAAAAATGGCTTTAGGTCCATCGATTGGCTTGAAATTGTAAAGCTGTAGCATTAAGTGGGTTTTTTTGAGGGGGGAGATTCCTATTGATTTAGTTTTTGTATTTAGCAATTTACCTATTTTGAATCATGTCTGACATTCTAAGTAGTTAATATCCATTTTGTAAAACATACCTAATGCAACCTAAGGTTTGTTGCTTATATGCCCTAACTACTATATAAAGGTGTTCACACGTTATTTCAAAAACAGCAGTATACATAGTGGTGTTTCCGTGTACTTAACTCACATATAGAATTATCTTTATGGTGTTAGATAGTTTTGTGATAGCATTTTCTTAGAATGGAGAAGGGAATAATATTCCAGTACCTGCTAAGTCCCAGACATGCATTATTTCATTTAATCTTCACAAAAATCCTATGCATGTGCTATTATCCCTGTTTTATAAGTGAGTAATCCCAGTTTAGTAACACAAGCAGTGTTACATAGTCTAGAAATGTTGGAAGATACTCAAATACAGAGCTTACTGGTTTTGAAGACTACTGATTTTGCTATTAGTTACCTTTGAAAAATTTGCCATAGTCTCCGTGTGTGGCCACTCACTGTGTGTGTGTGTGTGTGTGTGTGTGTGTGTGATTTTGGAGAATGTCTTAGTTTCTGGCCAAAACTTACTATGGGATCCTTGAAATTTTAAATATGGATAAAATAGTTACTACTAAGTTCATTGGAAAGGAATCACGTGGGCTTAGAGATTACAAAGCAGAATAAGTACAACAATTTCTTAAGGGACACAGAGAATCTGTACATCAAGGATAAATATTCTTGGAAAGGAGCTTCATGACCTCCTCAAAGTCTGGTCTTAGGTAGTATTTGAGATAAACATCAATGTGCACACTGTCTCTTGAGACAGAAGTGAATGATGACAAGCAGAGACCATACAACATTGGAATTCCAGGTGGATAGCACCCCTTGTAAGATTTTTACAAGTTTAATGTTTTAATGTTCCAGACTGTTTTATCTCTTCTGGGCCCCATCTTTTTTCTATTTTAAATAGTATTACTATATTAAATTACAGTATTATACCTGTTGCTTATTATTATGAAAAACAGTAGATCTTTGTGGCTTACAAAAACAGAAATGCTTGGCATCCCTTCTTTTTGTTCTTTGCTACTCTTTGCTGCTTACTGTTATATGAATTGCATAGTAGTTAATTATTTGAGCATTGTGAGTAATCCTAAAAATGAAGTGTTTACTGTTTGTAATGGCTTTGTTTCTGGTTTGGGAGGGTAAATGTCAATAGGTTGCCTGATTAGGACTTTTATTTTGTGGTAAATAAACTACTGGAAATTCTGTCTTCTTTTATAAATTATGTCATAAGGAGTACACTGACTCAGCATAGTTTAAAATTGCTTAGATGACAAAAATAAGTGATCTTATCTTCTTTCTCTGGTACTGTTCTGTTGGTTTTGTGCATTGTAATTTTAGAAAATTATTTGAATAGCTTGTGAGAGTACTCAATTGTTTAGATAGGTGTAAGAGGAACAGTTATAACTAAGAGTTTTGGCCCTAACTTTTATTTGTGGATCTTGTATTTTCTAGGATTGCACAAATCCACGGTACTTAGCTGCAGGTTCTTCCAATGCTGTCAAGCTCAGTAGGTTTTTTGATAAGGTAATGACTTCAATTAAGTTATTTTTAAACTTAATTTATATATTATGAAGGTTTAAACTCTTTGTAGAATGCTGTGTCCTTTTATTTCTTCATGCAGAACTTCACAGCCTGAATAATAACTGTTTTGATCACTCTTATCTGTTGAGATAATTGCTCAGGGCTTGCAGATGTATTTATTTCATCCCCAGTCTTTTAAGCATAGGGTGAAAGCATTGGATTTAAGGCAGAGTTTTTAAATGATACCTAATTGCTGTCCTTAAAACAATTTATATTTACCCATTTTCTAGCTCTTTGAGTACTGATTCACACCCTCCAAAAGCCACTGAACTGGAAAGGCTATGTTTAATAAAGCCTTAGTTCTTTTTGTTCTGTCAGCTAGTAATATTCTCCACATGAACAATACTATTTCTTTGTAAGGTTATTTCATCTTCCTGATTCTGTAATGTTGCCCTATCAGAAACTTTTGCATTCCTTTTGTTGACTCTGTTAACATCATCTTCCTGTCACTGAACTAGAACGAGAATGTAGAGTGACTCAGCACACTGCAGCTTAGGGCCCCTTTTGTTTTTCTTGCACAAGACCATACAACTGCATTGCACATAGTGTTGACCAAGTTTAAGTTATTTGCCCAATGTTGATGTTCCATACCATAATAAAGTAAAATCAGATGTTTCTCTGTATGTATTATTGAAGAAGATTAATTTCTATATTTTTCTTTTGAAGTAGAATCTGAGAAAAACATTTCCCTCCTTATAGCTATTCTTATGGACCATTTTTCTTTTAACTCTTTATAGATCTAATATTTGGCCCTTTTGTTCAATATATCAACATAGAAAATAAACCCCAGTTCCCTCCCTCTTTAATATTAGCCCAGTAGGAAATTTTTGCCTTGCTGCAGAACTTTTTAACTGAGAAATAGGGTACAGCTGTACCCATATATGATTCTGCAGTTCTCAGAGCAGCAAGAGTCCCTGCACAAGGAAAGCCAGCATCAGCTACCTCCCAGTCCTGTATACATGTTAGCTTTCTCTAATTGTGCCATTGTTGCTGTCCAAATTGGGACACCATAACATGAAAAATATTAGGAAGCACTGCAAAGAACCAGATTTTTCTCCACATTGTTTTCAAATTTAAAATGTAGTAACTTCTATTTGGTTTAGATCTTTAGCCCCAACCCCTTATAAAATTCTATTCCCTAAGAGCAGCATCCTGTATAGCTGTGCCTGATATGGAAAGGTTCCACAGAATATTGTTTAATTTTTTTAGTTATTGATTTTAAACTTTAAAAAGATGTAGTAAGTTATATGCTAGAAAAACAAGGAGGTATAGACTAGCCTAACGCACATTGTCAGGCAGGGCTTTATTTTTTTTTAATGAGGAATAATTTTGTTGGTCATAAACAGCAAGATTTAGTAAGACAAAGACTTTGCAAGTTGGTGGTAAAGATTATCAGCAAGGGGCTGGGGATTTAGCTCAGTGGCAAAAGCGCCTGCCTGGCAAGCGCAAGGTCATGAGTTCAGTTCCCGGTACCGGAGAAAAACCAAAAAATAAAAAAATAAAAAAATAAAGATTATCAGCAAAAGCAAAAAGATAACTTCTCTGTTACCTAAATCTCAACAAAATATTTGGGGACTAGGAGGTGGGCTAGACCTCCAGACTGAAGTGGTAGCCTGAAACCTAGGTGCCTGGCCAGTTAATTTTGCCCAGTTTCCTATTTAGCAAATCTTTTAGAAGTTAGTGTACAGTATAATTCCAGACACCCTTGGCTAGGAGTAGTTCTGTTCTAGAATGAGATTTTCCTATTGTTGTTTTTGTGGGGTCGAGTGTTTTGAGATGTATATCAATCAGGAAGCAGCTTTTCTACTTGTGAGGCCAGTTTGCCCTGAATCTCTTGCAGCTTAAACTAACTGAATGGTAGTCTCCGATACAGAAAGGATTTGGATATTTTGGCTCTAGTGCCAGTGAGAGCTACCTGGTACAGGCCTGGAAAAACACGGCTTGCTCGCATTCAGAGGATTGCTTACCTTCATCATTGGGGTTTGAATGGCTTCATTTCTCTCCAGCTAATCTGTATATTACCTGATTAACTTTTCTTATCACAGCAGCTCTGTGTAACAAAATAACACTGACTCTGCAACCATTGCAATGTTTCTCAAATGTTAGAATAAAATTCACTTTCATTAAATGTTTTTTTATCATCTGAAAACATGGTACTCTTAAGCTCATTACATTGAAATGTATACTTTTAGCGTTTTTCCCAGTAGACATGATGAATTTGTGAAGCTGCATCTATTGCTTTAACTTACTTTTCCTATTGACCATATTAGACAGTTAACTACTGAATTAAAGCTGTAGCTGAAAAACAAAAGGAAGCTATTTGACTGTTTCTGATCATTTGTCTATAGTAAGGAAATACAGAATTTGTCACTCTTTACTATAAAGACATTGCAGCTCACTGCATCACAAAGATTCCTCTTAAAGGAATAGCTGTACTACTGTAAGAGTCAAATGCTTTGCTTATATTATGAATTCTGTTTAGAATGTTTTGGGGCTGACTGCTGGGAAACTTAAGAGACAGGTTTCCTGCCATTCTATATAAATTGCATGGGATCTTATAATTCTGTTGTTTAGTTGTTTTTATTTGTTTAGTTTTTAATCTCTCATTCATGCTTTTTTGGAGTGAAGTGGACCTTTATGGAAATAGTCCCACAATTCTGATCTCTTTGTGCCATATTTTAACCCACTACTATATGTTTACAGCTATTAAAAATTCTTATTTTGAATATATTCCTTTAGACCCACTAGTGGCCGTTATCGTCAGCTACTTTTTCCAAGTAAAAGTGTGCTAGCCCTTAAAATCTTTGTTTCTCACAGGTCATAGAGATGAGATACTTTTTAAGAGATGGTAATCAGGTTAGTATCTATTTTCTTAATAAAATGGGGTTTTAAATTGGGAAAAAGATGGTTTAATTTCAAAACTGGTTTTAAAAAATTGAGAGAATCCATTTTAGGCACAAGCAACTTTTTTTCTTCTGTTCTATTAAATACAAAAGGAGTGGGGCTGGGGATTTAGCTTAGCGGCAAAAGCGCCTGCCTGGCAAGCACAAGGTCGTGAGTTCAGTTCCTGGTACCGGAGAAAACCAAAAAAAAAAAAAAACAAAAGGAGAAAATCACAAAGGAAAACGAGGATTTAAGATACAAGAAGAATCCAAGGACATGATTATATTATAATAGAAGAAAATCATTTGTTTAAGACTCCAAAGTTTATGTCCAGCATCTGTCAAAAATGCAGATAATTCATATAAAAGTTCAATAGGTGATTCTAGGAGAATCACCTCCATCCTTTCTTATTTAGATATAAATAACACTGTCACCAGTTTGTTGGCAAATATTTTCCATTTTGGTGGAATTTCTTTTTATTAATTTTCTATGATTTTCTGAGCAAAAGCTCAGAAAGCTGGTTCTGTAATGAACAGAAGGCTGACAGAAACAGAAAAAAAGGGAAAAAATTTAATATTAGTATTGAATTTTTTCTTCTTGAATTAAATATGATTATCTTTCTTACCTACAGATTCCAGGCTTGCCTGATAGAAAAAGATTTTGGGGAGGAACATTTAAGAACCTTCATTATGACTGAATTACAGTCATCCTTTGGAAGAATAAGAAGACAGTTGGCAATTTTCACAGCTTTCCTTTTGCTGTGTAAGTTATTAACATCTCAGACTTAGGACAAAACCATCGTAAGACACTACCCTTCAGCCTCATTTGTTAATGGAAAAGTGAAAGTAGATGACAACGTGGGAGATCCAAACTGTGTCCCTGTTCTCAAGTGTTCCTCACCCTTTCTGTCCCTGTCTAGAGATTATGTAAAAGCCTTGTAGAAATATGAGATACTGTATTGTCAGAATGATGCAGTAAATGAGCAGTGACAGTGCTGCAGAGAAAATTTCCTCTTGCCTGGAACTGGAGGGTTTTTATGGGTGTGTAATTTTCCTACACTCATTTCTGAAAGCTTTTAATTAAGTACTTCAAAAAAATCTCTCTCTATTGTTTTATCTTCTTAAGGGGAAAACTTATATAAACCAGCCCTAAGTTATCTACCCCAAACAGTCTCTATCATTTTCAAAGCAACCAAATGGTATTATTTAAATTTTCTGTACCCTCATCACACACAGAAATGCCTAAGAAGAGCTACCCTTGTCTCCCTCTCATCTTCTTTGCAAATGGCTTTGTGGCCAGGTGAGGTGGACTAATAGCTGGAGTTAAATATAAATACAGGTTAATAATATATAAAGAACAGTATCAGGAAAGAAGAATTTGGGGAGAAATTGACAACTCCTCACTCTTTAGGTTGCAGCTGTCTGCAGTCTCTTACAGTTTTCTGTTTGAAAATAGCTAAGGTGAAATTTAAGAGCTATACAAGGGCAGTAAGAGATTTACAACTTCTTGATGTTTATTTTTTTAAAGGAAATTGAACTTCTAAAGTGTTCCTTAACTTTAGTCAGTAAACTAAGAATATTATCTTTGTGTCAACAATGTATTTATGGAGATAAGTAAAAACAAGTTTCACAGCAACAAATTTACATGAATTATGAACTAGAATTCTCGGATTTCATAATCACACTAAAGCTTTTTGGGGGTGAGGTGTGTGTATTTTTGTGCATAATTGTTGTTCATTAACTTTTTTGACCCATCTTTTTTGCTTAATTCTCTCTGCTGCAGTTCTTCTTTAGTATATAAAAGTGGTTTCAAACACTGTAATTTGCAACTTTATTCAACACTTTGTCATCTGTATTCTGTCTGCTAAATCTCAACTTTTCTAATTTAGTCCATATTAAAATAATAATACCTACACAGTTTTAGTTGTTATGTTAAAGCAGAGCAAAAACAATAAATTCATTTTCTATTGCATTTTAATTCAATTTTGAAGAACTTTGGAAATCAAGATGTGTTGAAAGAAGACATTAAAATTAGAATGTTGAAGAATGTTCCTAGAAAGTATTGTTACAGTACTTTTTATCAGGTAGACTATTCTCTAATCTTTCCTCACTTTATCATTGTCAAGATGTAGTCCTACTTTCTTTTCTGACATAAAGGAGAGTTACACAAATCATAAGCTGTATATAGAATCTGGCACAAGTGTGTTGTACCAGAGACTCTGCAGTTAAGAAGTAGAAATCAAATGCTACACAAAGATCTAAACTAGCTAAAGTCCATTGTATTTCCCTATTTAAAAATCAATCAAGGGGTCTGAGGATATAGCTCAGTAGTAGAGCACTTTGCTACCATATGCAAATCCATGGGTTTGCTCCCTAGCACCACAAAATTTAAAAAAATCAACACCCCTTCATTCTCTTTCTTTTTCTTTTTCCTTAATTTAAAAAAATTCCCATTTCTTTAATTTTTTCTCTTACTAAGAAATGAATCCATCACCAAGATCACCTTTGAAAACGTGGCAGTATTCCTGAAATTTTATTTCTTTTTGTTACCAGCCTGATTGCCTGAGTTATAGTTTTGTAATGAAAAAAAAAATTCACTTCTTGGAAGATGGTGGAGTGGTAAAAAGCAGAGAAGGAGCCTTTCCAAGATTTGGTGTCCAGATGCTAGAATATAGAATGTGTGGAGAAAAAAGGAGGGAAGTGGGTCCTTGGGACCAGAAAGGATCTGAAATGAGAACTGAACCCCACAGGGAGAGTGAAGAGAGAGACTTCAATAAAAAAAGAGGTGGCAAGAGACACTTTTTTCCTGAGCCCTAACTCATTGCATGGAAGGGGTGGCTTGAACCTGCACATACATGGTGACTACTGGTGAGCCCAAAGGCCTCCAAAGAGAAACCCACCAGTGAAACAGCAGTAGATGCAGCAGACTACAGTGGCTTGTGAGTTATTTGGGTTCAGGAGAATACCCCAGGAGAGGGTAATTGGCCTGTAGCAATCCTGGAGAAGGGCCAACTGAGCTCAGAACTCAAAGCAGGTGTGGACCAGCTCCATGTAGCACCCCCAGTGTCAGGATGAGGCAGAACCAAGTTTAAATCAGCAGGAAGTCAGGAAGCCAAGTTCAAGCTAGCAGGAGGCACATGGACTGCTGCAGGCTGAACAAATCGGGTTCCACCTTTACACCCAGACACCAGCTTAAACTTCAGAGGAACTACAGGTGCAGACTTGCTGGGATTATCACAACCCCACTGTTAATCTACAACTGGCTTGCTAGGATTAATCAACATGGATCTGGACTCTTTCTGCCCACTTTGTCTACCAGTGACAGACATACACCTTGATGTGGACTTTCTTTTTTCCTTATTTTTTCCTTTCTTGATTTTGGTTTTGTTTTCTTTTTTCTTGCTTGTTCTTGTTTTTATATGAGTGTGAACATTGTTTCTAGTTCTATTGTTCTGTTCTGTTATTTTTATTCTTCCCTTCTCTCTTTTCCGTCCTGTTTTCACCAGTTTTCTAAAGTTTGTATAGTCTTCCTTTATCCCACAGCCTTGCTTCTGAAATCTCTTCCTCTTCTTTTATTTCTCTATTTTTTCACATAGCTCTTTAAATTTTTTCCTCTAAGGGTAAAATCACCATATTGAGGATTATTTACTGTATACAGTATACTGGTGTGTTTTAGATTTTGTTATATAACCATAATTCTAGTTGATATGGTTAAAGGTGGAAAATTATTGGTTACCACAGTCTGTCATTTTCTAAGCTATTGTTATTATTGATTGTACTACTTTAGCCAAGGTGACATAATTGTTCTGAACAGTTGTTCTTTCTGGTATTCTGAGACTGAAATTGTCTAAGGATCATAAAAAATACTGTAGGCCAGTGCCAAAGAGCCAAAGGCAGGGCCAAATAGGTAGCAACTTCTCATCCCCATAAATTGAAGAGATAGCATCTTGCAACAGACTCAAAACCCAAAAGCCAGCTTCATCTGGAAGACATCTCTGAGAAGTAGTCATTTCTTAAGGCTTCTATATACTAGCAATAAAGCTACCTACCGTAAAAAATTTAAAAGCATCAGCCCAGGAATTAAACTAAAAAAATACAAAATGAGAATACAAAATGAGAATACACTTAGGCAAGATGGAACCTCAGACTTCCAGCTTGCCAAAGGCAAACCCAGGGAACAGTGAGGTGGAACACTTAGGAAGCCACCCACCTGGAATCTCTGGAGTGGTAATAGCAGAATGAACAAAGCTCTAGAAAAAAAATCAAATCACAAATAATTTCTCAGGTAACTACAGAGATGATGACCATGATGAAAGAGATGTTTAATGATACTTGAGCAGATACAGATTAAAAAAAATACAGGAGTTTAGGAAAATGATGGAAACCATGAACACCCAATATAGGAAAGAAATTTAATCCATGAAACAAATTCAAATAGATAGCAAGGAGATTAAAAATTCCATCAAAAGTATATACAGCAGAATGAGCCAATGTGAGGACAGAATATAAGATCTAGAACAAGGAAATACAATTAGTAATCATGAAAAGAAAGATTTCTTAAAATTAGCAAGGGACCATGAGAAATCAATCCAACAGCTTCTAGATGATGCAAAGAAGAATAACATAAAATTGACTGGAATCAATGAAAAAGCAGGAGATAGCACCAATGACATAAAAAGCCTGTTCACAGAAGTAATGGCAGAAAACTTCCCAAGCAGGGAAAAAGAATTTGACACACAGAAAAGTGACACATATAGAACTCCAGTTAGCCATGACTAAAAAAATGGAAAATGTACAGCAAGGCATAGTCATGATTCTAAAAATTCAACACAAGAATAGAATATAGAATATTAAAAGCTGTTAGAGAAAAAAGAAACAAATCACTTATAAAGAAAAGCCTATCAGAATCACAGAGACTTCTCAACACAAACCCACAAGTTTGGAGAGCTTGGAGTAAAGTATTTCAAGCCCTAAAAGAAAACAGCCTCCAACCCATATTAATGCACCCTGGAAAGCTGTCTTTCAAAATTGATGGAGAAGTAAGAAACTTTCATGACAACACCTGAGGAAATTCATGATCACCAGACCAGCACTCCAGAAGGTTCTGAAGGACATCCTAGAAAGAGGTACAAAGGACTACAAATCTGTGAATCTCAATGGAACACCTAGCAAGGCACCCAATTAAACAGGAAAAAAGGGATTAGGCAATAAGAAAATAACGACAAGGATAAGTCCGTACATATTAGTTAAAACCATCAATGTCAATGGCCTCACTTCACCAATCAAAAGAAACACTGGCAGAATGGGTCAAAAAGCAAGATTCAGTAATAACATTGCATAGAAGAAACACATTTAATTCAGAAAGAAATTCATAGACAAAGTCAAAAGGATGGAAAACAATACTACATGCAGTAGGAACCTGAAAGAAAACAGGGGTACCTATTCTATTTGCAGATAAAATGGATTTCAAGCCAAGACTGATTCAGAGAGACAAAGAAGTTCACTAAATTCTTGTAAAGGAAACAATCCAAGAGGAAGAGATAATTATTAATATATATTTAACAAATACTACTGCACCCAACTATATAAAATAAATATTAATGGACAGGAGAAATCAAATAAGCATTAATACAATTATAATTGTATAATTACACCCCACTGTCACAAATACACAGATCAACTACAGAAAAAAATCAATGAAATATCAGAACTAAACCAAATTTTTTAACAAATGGACTTAATAGATGTCTACAGAGTGTTCCACTTCAGAATATCAGAATACACATTGTTCTAAGCTACACATGGAACATTCTCCAAAATAGAACACATACTAGCCAATAGAACATGCTTAAGTAAATGCAAAGGAATTGAAGTTATCCCGTGCATATTACCAGATCATACTGCAGTGAAATTAGGAACCAGTGGCAAAAGAACCACAAGAACTTCATAAACAAATGGAAATTAGATAACACCCTACTGAACAGCCAAGGAGTCACAGATGAAATTAAAGAAATTAGTTTCTATAGTTAAATGATAATACCAATGTGACATACTGGAACATATGCAAACAAAGCAGTCCTGTGACAGAAATTTATAGCAGTG